TTCCCTGGCATCGTACCTGTTCCCAACTAAACGTATTATTTCCTGATAATAATATCAAAACACGTAAATACCTCTATAATTTATGATGAAAAAATTATTTTGATTATGTTTATATTATTTAAATACTTTCTAACCTCAAATAATAGTAAGATCCTTGTTTAAATCACAGCCCGTTCAAAACTGTATTGTCTTCTAAAAAATGTTTACAAAACAAACAATTATTACAAAAACAATGTCCTTTTTAATCTGATTTATACCTCAGAAGGATGCCAGTAAAATTTATTAAATCAACATTATATTATTTGGCCATTAATATGCAAAAAGGAGCATATTGTCTTAACTTAAATTTTCTTTACTGCTCCTGACAATGTTCTCTATATTCCTCTATTTTGAGTTAGTAAACTTTTGAACAGGATGTGCGATATATAAAATTTTTGGTTGTTTATGCACATTGGCTTGGTTTATGTTTTATTTAAAATATATTTATTTGGTATAACAGTTTTTTTTTGCCTTTTGAATGACATGCATTGAGGCTAGATAGTGTTTCAGTATTAGATCATTAAAGCGAATTTAAATTAGCATATATTTTTTTTGTAATATTAGTGTGTTATCATGATACAGGTAGTTGTATCATAGTGCCTTATGCATGTTATTTACCTATTATATACTTATGTATTATCAGTAAATAGATGATAATATACTACTAAATGTCTTTTAATAGTATGTTTATCTTTCCAATTCACTAGTTATTTGCAAAATGTATTTTGAACTAATTTAAGTCATTAATTGATCATCTTTCTTTTTCAGGTTCGGGATATTCTTTTTTCATTGTTAAAAAAAAATATATATATTTCAATATTATTGTAATATAAAATCGCAGCTCTAAAAATAAATGATATTGTTTACTAATGTAATTTATTTACTATGAATTTTCTCTGAAAATAATAAGCCTTTAATAATATCATTGATTTGTTGTGTAAAGTTAATAGACATATTTTTTAATACATTGGAATTATATTAAAGTAATAAAAAATATGTTTATTAACTTTAAACAGTAAGCCAGTGATACTTATAAAAATATTTTTTTAAAAATTTCCCCTCTTTTAAGGCCCGCCCCTCCAATTCCCCTCAATTTAGCTAGTACTGCCAGGCGACACCAGGTGGCGTCTGTTTCCATTTTTTAACATGAAGTTAGCATTTCTTTAATGTACCTATTCTCTGATTTCGACCAAAAATCGAAAAATACATTTTAATTATTTGATTTTCAAACATAATTCGGTGTGAAATTTTCTTACCGAATACCATACGAGGTCAAATTAAATCTGGACATTTTTTCTCGCTCAGGAATATTTTTAGAAAATTATCCCTCCTATTCGACTGGGGATAATTTTCAAAATATTCATGAGCTCGAAAAAATTTCCGGAAATAATTTGACCTCTAGTGGTATTACTAGTGAGAATTTTAAGTAACATCATGTTTTTTGATGTTTTAAAATGTTAAAAAGCACAATATTTATTTAATTCAATGCTAATGAAAGGGTGATAATAGTTATCGGAAATGTGATACTTTAACAACAGCAAAAAATATGACGTTAATCAAAATTAATAATAAATAACCATCTACCAAAGAATGAAATCAAAATTATATTACCATAGAAATACTTCTTTGATTTTTAGGCCTTTGGATTTTTTAGGAAAAAATTCAACCATATTTTCTCATATAAAAACAAATCCGGATATATATACTGTAGATAAATTTAAAAATAATACCATAAAAGTGGTACAATCTTTGAACTGGTTGTTTAGTTGCTTGTTTTTTTGAATATCTGTTTTCAGTCGTATAACTGGAAATGCTTAAATTTTATATGTCCCTTTTATGGCCTGCTATAGAAGATGTAGAATAATAATATCTGAAAGATATACGATTTTTCCCTGTGGAAATAATACGCCGTACAATTTTACGCTATCATACATTGTAATAATATTGGGTGTTACTTTTTACGACATTGAATGCGATATGTATAATATGGATATGTGAAAATGCTATAAGATAGTTTGGATTTCAATTTTAGCGTTATAGTTACCATCGAAATAATTCAGATTCTATACTTTTTTAAAAGAAAAATGGATAACGCCGACAAAGATTGTTCTGTATTAACATCTATTCTTTAATACAGTGTTTTTAGAGTGTTTTTTTCATGTCATTCATCAATATAATTTTACAATAAAGTTTAACATCCAGTATCTTTAAAACTATGCAATTCCGTATTTATAGTGACTTTTTTCCCTTCCATTCTGGGGTACTTGCTGCACAACAAAATTTTTGATCGTATTTTCAAACTTCATAAGAGAGCACTTCGATATTTATTGGGACTGAACAGTAGAACTCACTGCCAGAATTTCTTTAGAAATTTCAAAATACTAACTCTTCCTTCTTTACTCATTTTTGAATCCGTTTGCTTAATCCGCAAGCACATACCTGTTATTCCCGAAAGGCCATCTCAAAACTATCCACTTAGGAATGCACGATCTTTATCTGCCAACCCCGAGCTCAGAACTAGTTAAAGGCCCAATGCTGTACAGGGTGTTCAAAATATATTTATGAATTTCAGCTACTTACAATTAAGAAATTTAAAATTTTTTAAATGGTACACCCTATATATTTAAATTTTTTCTAATAGATTTTACAAAACTCTTCAACTTTTATTAAGTATGTCATATACCTATTTTTAATAGTTTGCGATTTATTCCAATTTTTTTCTATTTTTACCCATATTTTTAATACAGTTACGCTATAACATTATAAATGCCATTACAAAAAATAATAATTATCAAAATTTCATGTCTGTTAAGTTAAGAACAAAATTTGAATTTTGTCGTATGGTGGTAATGGTAGAGGTAATAGTTACATATTTTCCTGAAATGAATTACTCAATGTGACTGATATACACGAACAAGCCAAGAAAACCATATTTTTTGGTTCAGTACTATATATTATATAGTACTTTGCTAAGTAACTTTTTTTGCTAACTATAAGAATAGATGTAGATTATCTAGAAAACATCTTCAGTGTGTAATGAGATAATTTGGCGGCAGTAGTAATATGGGCTTTACGAAATGAATTATAATCAGTCAAACATTATACTCAGTCACTATATCAATAGTCTTCAACAATTAAGTAATATTCGTAATCTGTCGCTATTCGTCCCGACGGAAAATCCCCCCCAAGTGTCAGTTTTCATAATATAGAAATACACCAAGAAATTCACGACTGCGATTTTAGTTTATTTGAGTGAAGTTAATTAATTTTAACTAATACTAACAATTGTAACTAATTATGAAGCTACTTGTTAAAGATAAGTAATAAATAGTTTGTTTTGTCATGGCAACTATGATTTTCTAGCGTAATTGTATTAAAAATATGGGTAAAAATAGAAAAAATTGGAATAAATCGCAAACTATTAAAAATAGGTATATGACATACTTAATAAAAGTTGAAGAATAATGTAAAATCTATCAGAAAAAATGATAATATATAGGGTGTCCCATTTAAAAAATTTGAGATTTTTTAATTTTAAGTAGTTGAAATTCATAAATATATTTTGAACACCCTGTAGCATCTAACTAAAATATCTTTACATAGCTGTGTTTGTCATAATGTGGATCAACCTGCTCTCACTACCGGTTTCGGAGCCCTACTCCATCATCAGGTGAGCTTGGGCAGATAATGTGATAATGTGTATATGTGACTTAATATCTAACCGACGCTTTCCGACAAGTCGGAATTAACTATCTCTGCGCTGTGGTTGTCATTTTGTGGATCTGCCCAAGCTCACCTGATGATGGAGTAGGGCTCCGAAACCGGTAGTGAGAGCAGGTTGATCCACATTATGACAAACACAGCGTAGAATTAAATTTCTATATAAGCAGTTAAGTGGCAAGAATCCTTATATAATTTTATTATATATAAAAAAGTTATGGAATTTTACGCAGAATCTAAAAATAAAATAAAACATAGGGTGTTGCATTTAAAAAACATATGTTATATTTGCCACACTTTTTTGAAGCACCCTGTATACTCTATAATAATTTTAAAATGTGTATCTTAACCTTCCCTATAACTTTTGTATTTAAAACTTTTTTGTAAACCTCGAAACAAATGAGATAATGGACTTTACTCTATCGTTGACTCACCCTGTAATTTACAATCTGAATTTAAAAGTGTCTGAAGGACTTTTTTAAAGAGATGAATCGCTGTAGAGGTATATATTTTTATATCATATTATTATAAATCCGCATTTTCGAACTAAAAACAAGTATGCAAAGTTGTGAGTTACGATAAAGCATAAAAAAATATACAAAGGAAAATTAAAATATCATTAGGTCACATGCAAAATTAAATCAACCTTTAAAAGTGACACGTATTCCAGACTCTTTAATCATAATAAAGAAGTTCTTGATATTTCAAATTACTTGTCATTTAAATATCATAAATAAAAATGCAGCTTTAACTTTAATATTATTGACTAAGCCATACACATATACTGGAGTTGTTGAAGTCTAATCGATTCACTGAAATTTTAAACAGCTTTCTATTTACAGCAACGATGTAAATGTTACTTTTAAGCTTCGACAATGTTAACTCAAAGGCAGGTTCCTTTTCGAAAGCTTTTTATTTATTATTATTATTTATAAGTTTGTTTATAGTGCTATTATCTTTTAAAATGACTAAATATAAGTATTTTAGGATGACATTTAAGCAATTCAACAGTAAAGAAGACAACTTTCCGAAATAAAAACAAATTATCCGCACTACCAGCGCAACAAAACGCACTTTAAAAATAACTGCGTATCATAAAGTCAAAGATTATGAAACTGGTAATTTTAAAAGTTTTTCAATTATTATTGTTATTATTTTACTAAAGCATTAACACGTTAACCTCCAATATTTCAACACATTTGGCCCCTGGTTCTGTTTAAATAAGCATAGTCTTTACTTACTCGTTTTTCTGGAGATTGAGGAATGTGATGGAGTCTCCAAAGCCAGCAAAAGCGTCTTCTGCGATAAAGGAAATGTTATTGGCTCTCAGATCCAGGTGACGTAGCCTGTGCAGCCGTTTCAATGCCTCCGTTGGGATGGTGTGAATGTTGTTATCTCCCAGTCTAAGATACTGAAGATTTTCTGAAAGAAAAACATAAATAATTAAATTTAAAACACAGCTAACAATTATTATTTATATAACAAAAAGTAAAGGACAACCTAACCAAAAAAAATTATATTATTTCGTATATTTTGCATTTTATTGATTTTATGGAAAGCACTGTTAATTAAAATGTTGTATCCTTTGTTATAGGGTTTGTTTCTCTCTAAAATTTCCTGTCTCACAATGTACCGTTTGTGTCAGGGAAGGGATCATAGTTTCATATTTGTCGATTTTCGAAAGAAATCAGTACATGTATATTATTTCGTATATTTTTTTATTTTATTGATTTTACGAAAAACACTGTTTATTAAAATGTTGTATCCTATGTTATAGGGCTTGTTTCTCTCTACAATTTCCTGTCTCACAATGTACCGTTTGTGTCGGGGAAGGGATCATAGTTTCATAGTTGTCGATTTTCAAAAGAAGTCAGTACATGTATATTTTTTCGTATATTTTTCATTTTATTGATTTTATGGAAAGCACTGTTCATTAAAATGTTGTATCCTATGTTATAGGGCTTGTTTCTCTCTACAATTTCCTAAAACTGCAGTATAAATGATAACTAAAGCAGGTATAGAAATGTTATTAATAATTTTAAGATTCAATATAGTTATATTATTTCGAAACAATTCCTAACTAAGCTTGTTCCCAGTCAGCCCATTTTCCAAGTTATTTTTCTAACACATCTGGTACCTTAACCCTTTATTAGGTCCCTTTGTAGTGCGCGCCATTGTTGTTCGCTGGCATTCCCTAGACCTTACAATCCATTAACTTTAACAATGGTCACATCTAACCGCTATGAAATTACCGAGGAAGTTCCTGGAAAACAACCATCGATTCTACTAAGTGTGTATAAAGGAACTTTTATTATTTCCTCCGTTTTTTTATTAAGTTTCTTTTTGTAGCAAAGAAATGGTTGTTTGAAAAGCACATTTGGAAATATAGTATTGTACGTAAAAATATAATTCTTTTTTATCTATGTGATGATTTATATGGAATAAAATTAAATATAAAAAGTCTCTATTTTTATTAAAAAAAACATAATATTACAAACAACGTAAATCTGGCAAGTATAATGTCTAAGTTTAACTTAACTTCTTAGAAACATATTATTAAATCATTTCTTTGCCATTTTAGAGTAATATAGATCCTATCTAGGCAACCTTTAACATTAAAACTAAAACATTTTTATTTTTAAACACCATAAAGCATACAACGCTGTTTTTAATGTTACCGAGCATTCCGAGAATTGTTCTTTTATAGTTTTCTCAAAGGTAAAGTTGGATATTATCGAAAACATGTGGAATATATACATATACAGTTTGCAAATACAGTTTTCTTTGATATTCTTTCAAGTTCAACCGACCTTCGAATTGTAAAGAGTTTTTGTTCGGGAAAATATGATCGAAAGACAACAAAGTGTATTGTTTCGAATATAGAAACTATAAAAAAGGAGAAAACATATTTTATTTGCTTGTTTTTGTTTGGGAAATCTGAGAAAGTTGAGTTAAATACCGGATGTTTTTCCAAACTGGCTCACCCCTATAACTTTTTTATTTTTTTAGATAACGGAACGAAATTTGGTTAATTAGTATATGACATAAATCGGGATTGGTTGACGCATTCAATAATTACTTTCAGTCATTTCCTGTTCCACCTCTAGTATACTAACATGCAAAATCTCGTTTTTTTATCTGAAAAAATAAAAAATATAATAATATTTCTTCACTTCATATCCAAACATAAAATTATATTTTCAACTTTCCCAAACCTCAATCATTCTCCATTTTCAATTAACTTTATTTTTCAATTTTCCAACCTTTTTATAATTTATCGACAAAGAATCGAGGACTCAGCTATTTTCAATAAATTCTGAAACCTCCTTTGTCCACCCCCACCTCGTTTAGGAGGACCATAAAAACGTTTTGAGGATCAATCGATTCTTTCATCCTCAGGCTTTAAGGAAGGAAAGTGTAGGGTTACGAAAAGCCTTTCCAGGATAGGTTAGAGTAATAATTTACCATGCTGTCAAAAGGTCGTGTTTCTTTTATGAACTAGGGTGGTTTTTGTATGAACTAAAGAATGATTGTTATGGGTGTGTGGATAGATTGATAGGTTTGTGTTGTTGAAATTGGTTTGTTGTCAATAATGTTTTATATAGAATAATTAAAGCACTAAGAAAACAAGGAAAAGACAGGCGTTATATAGAAACTCTTGCCAATATATACAAAGAAGCCAATGAAAGAGTAATGATATACAGGGTTGTTCACCACATACGACACGTAATATTGTAGCTAAACGATTAGATTTTTACAAATTGTAAGTTTTGAGGTCGTTGGAGGACTATTAGAGCTACAATTTAAAAATATTTTTACAAGATACAGACTGTCCCAAATAAATAAAAAATATCAAAGTTGTATTTTTTTAAATGGAACATCCTGTATATTATTGCATTTTTAGTTTCTACGATTAAAATAAAGGTAAATTTGATTAAGGTTTATTATACTTAAACCTTACCGTTTTTGAAATATTTTCAATTTTGTGAAATTGCAGTATAAATTTTAAGGCTTCATTTCTCCGAGGGTATCAAAGTTTTTAATACTAAATATTTACTGAAGTTTATTTATTGACCAGTTATTGTGTTGCAATTATAAAAATTTTACTACCTTATACAGAGTGTCTAAATATTTATTTAAATAATTATTAGCTTTAAACGGCAATAACTTGTTTAATTTAAATGGAAGATCCTGTATATTTTATGAGAATCAGATGCACAATTTAATTGTCTATCAAATTGTATCATACCATTTTTTACCTATCTCTTCAAGTTTCCGCAGAAAATGCATTTTCTTGTAATTTGGAACTCATTTATCCCTATACCCTATACCCATGGAATATATAGTAGTAGAGTGAAAATACATTCATTTCGCAACTTGTTACATAAAGAGCTATTTAAATAATCTAAATACAACTATTCAAGAACATTGGGATAATTATAGTAAAAATATAAATTAATAAAATATTAATTTTATGATTTAGTTAGAGACATATGCCAGATGGCAGTAAAGGAAAACAAAACAAAAGTATTTAAGTGTGGAGCATGTTTGAAGATCAAAATTATTGAAACACTTTAACCGACTCTGTAACTCGTTACCCAAGGCAAAAAAGTTAAACGCAAACGACTTTATTGATAAATGTATTGTTTCTACTTTGAAAAATACTAATGGGCCTTAAAATTAAAGAAGTTTTAAAAAATTTCTTGAATTTTTTTTTAGTAAAATGAGAATAATTTATTCCCAGTCGAAAAAATTGTTTCCGCGCGTTGTTTAGGGTGAAATATTTCAAGCTAACGTATTCAAAAAGCAGGAATTGCTATTTTAGGAACGAAACATTTTCTTATTCAACAACATGGCGGCTTTCACTTTGTTGTTTTGGAGATTAAGATGGAGTAGTTCGAGTAGTCGCATACTGGACTAATAAAGTCGCAGTTCAGTCTTAACAGGTAGTATACTAGTCGCAAGATTGCCTAATTTAGTCATCTTAATCCATTGTGCCGCCCTCTATATTCTAAATAAACGAGGGAGTGGATAAAGTATCGGTAATATGTCGATGTATATTTAAATTTAGTTTTATATGTACCTTTCTTATGTCCCATTTTAATTAAGTTTTTTTTATTAAAACAAAAACAGCACTGAACTGTCTGACTGAACAGAACACTGAAGTGAAAATTTAAGATTTGGTGGCTCGACGTCCTACCAACGTAAGAATAAGGCAATCTGAACAACGTTGGAATTAGTAAAACAGACGACGTTTGCATAACGTTGGAATAGGTCCTGAAAGTGACGTCGGAAAACTCTTTATTGCTCAACATTGTAACTACGTTGTCCAAATCACCTAAAGATCACTTAAGCAAAAAAGGTTACAAGACAACGTTTATTCGACGTCGCAGAAGCTTTTACTTTGTTGTAGTACTAGTTTAACGTTGGCACAACGTTACAACAACGTTTACATTTATTTTAATACCCAAGGTACGGAGCTAACTTTTTTTTGTAACTAATCCAACGTTGTGTTTAGTAAACATCTGGTCGCAAGTCGTGAAAATGCTACTTGGGATATCACATACAAACATAGAAAATTTCACTTTTGAAAACCACTCAATACAAGATTCCTTCACATTTTCTGTTGGTTGCATCGAACAACAACACAATACTAAATATCACGAAAACATATCTGTTAATGTGAAAAAAGAAATAGAATTTACGAAAGACATCAAATCTCGAGTTAATCTAAAATAACATTAAGAAAATTGAGTCCGTTCCCTGGTTTCCTATTTAGTTTCAAATCTTCCAGGACTTAATCTAACCATCTGGCACAAAACCTTCGATAAATTAATTATTGCTGAGCTCGTAAATGCGCTCTTAGAGTTGCCGGCTCGTTTGAAATCAAATAGCGTGCATGCAGGTATTAATTTTCAATGAGAGCTAGGTGAGCTGAATAGAGAATGCTACATGAAAATTAATAATATCTTGTAATGTTTGTTACTAGTATACAGTGCTGGCAACTCTTACTTTTGAGTCGGTATTTACATGTGTGGAAATAAATTGCATAGGGATCTTTTCGAATCTGCCAGAAAGCACTCTGAATCACCTAACTACTTTAATAAATATGTCATTCCACATTAATATTTTTCCAAAATGTCTTAAGACGGCAATAATCATTTCTCTGCATAAAGGAGGAGACAAAGATCAAGCTTCTAACTATCGCCCAATTGCACTCCTTCCAACGCTATCTAAGATCATAAAGAGGTTGGTTAAAAGAAGGCTGATATCTTCTCTGTTTAAGTACAGAATACTTACTGAAATCAATTTGGATTTCTAAGCAACAAGTCCACAAATGACGCTATGTTTTCCCTCCTTAATAAAGTTTACTCCAGCCTAAATAACCATCTATCTGCAGCAACAATGTTTCCTGTGATTTTTCTAAGGCGTTCGACTGTGTAAATCATAAGATCCTAATTAATAAACTGTTATGAGAACACTATAGGTTCAGGGGAACATCTCTCGAATGGTTTAAGTCATATCTGAGCAACAGAAGTCAACTTGTGAGGGTGGATACCACTTTGAATGTGGAGTACCTCAAGGCTTAGTACTAGGCCATATTTTGTTTCTTTTTATTAATGACATTGCTAACATAAACATCAGTGGTAAAATATGTCTTTTTGCGGACGACACTAGCTTCACTTGGAGCAACAAGGACGTCACGGTACTTCATAGGATTGTATCAAATGACTTAATCACCATTAAATCTTGGTGCGATTCGAACCTCCTGAGTCTCAAAATTTCTAAAACTAAAGCGTTGTCGTATAAAAACTCGCTGCAGTCTTTTATACTTAGAACTGCTTATTATGCACTTTTTCAGTTGCACCTCACATATGCTCTTCCATTCTGAGGTACGTGTTGTGCGACTCAATTTGACTGCATTTTCAAGCTTCAGAAGAGAGCTGTTCGATATTCACTGGTACTAAACAGCAGAACTCATTGCCAGGACTTTTTTAAAAAATTAAAAATATTAACTCTTCCTTTCTTATTTATATTTGTACCCGTTTGCCTAATACGTAAGCATGTATAAGCTTCTCAAGAAAGGCCATCTCACACTTATCCACTCAGGAACGCGGAGCAAGATCTTTATCTACCTATCCCACGCTCAGAGTTAGTTAAACGTTCAATATTATACAACTCGAAAAAAAATGCACAATCACCTGCCATTTGAGTGAGAATTCGCAAAGGGTGAGAATTCGCAAAGCATTGAAATCTTATTTACTAGATAAGGCTTTCTACGCGTAAATGACTTATATTTTGATAATCGAATTTGATCTTGTAAACACTGGTCTCATATTTGCTATTACTATATTTACTATAAACTTACTAAATATTTTTGAATCATATTTTTATTTTTTTATTCTTTAACATTGTAAACATTTATAAATATTTATTTTAAACAATAAGACTGACAATGTAATTTGTATACTTGTTTTGTATTCTCTTTTGTTTGTTTGTTTGTATGTTTACTTTACCTTTGTCTATAAATAGTAAAAATTTTTGACAATAAAGGCATTTATTTATTTATTAAGTCGGAGTGAGAGAAATGCGACGGTGTGCTGTTGCTGCGTTGCCACATTTCTCCGTACGCCTTTCCTTTTCAAGTAAGGTATAATCACGATCGCAAACCGCTTATTTTTAAAACTTTTTTTGGAAAAGATAGCTAGATAAAATCATTAGATATGTTTCTGAGCATCTGAAATGGAATTATAAGGTTATCATTAGGGCGTCCATTTTTTTATAACGAGAAAACGAAAATTGCGACTCGTTAATTAATAATAAATAAAGTATCACGAGACGTAATTAAATCGTGAAGCTGAACGCATGATATACAATCTTCTCTAGAATTTTAAGTACTGATTGGGTCAATCGCGACGAATCTGCAATATCCCCTTCTACGTCTCTTAGCGATGTGCACAGTTTCTCGGTTTATTTCATACGTTTGGCAACGTTTTTACTGTTCCCTCTTTGTACAGTACGTTTATATAAACGCATTGTACTCTTCTTACATACGGAAATCTCGACCAAAACTAACATTTGCCAGCCCCTAGTATTATATTTTACCTTCCAAACCGGCAAAGGCGTCCTTATCGATGGTGTCGATGTTGTTGCCGTCCAGTTCCAAAGAATTGAGAAGGGTGAGATGCGAGAAAACCCTGGAAGGGACCGTACGCAGTTTGTTGTGGGCCAATCCGAGCGAATCCAAGTTTCTGAGACCTGTAAATAACCAACAAAACATTGTTTACTTTAAATAAATGGTATATTAATCAAAATAGTTTTTGGAAAAACATCAAAGGCTACGTTTTCCAATATAAATCATTGACAATAACGGTCTGTGCACATTATCATAAACAGCCGATACATAATCACCTAAATATTTCCAGAAATATTTCGTGAAACATTTCGCAAAACATTTCTGAAAATAGTACGATATACAGGGTGAGTTTCCTAGGATGTTCTCTATGGGTATCTCATCAGTTTTGTGGGGTTATAAATATGCACCTTTCAGATTTTCAAAAAAGTTCATGGCTTACTAGATATTTCGAAAAAAACAAATTTTGACTATTTTAAAACTTGTCCCTAATTCCATTATAATTTATTTTAGACAAAAAGTTTTCAAATAAAAGTTGTAGATAATCACATCCCTAATGAGGTTGTGCTCTCCGATTTTTTCTAAAGCCTGTCATTTTTGACATATGACACAAACATATGTTTTTTTAAATGGAAACCATAGTTGGCCATGACGTCATAAATAGCGTCATTTTTTAAGCTTTTCAGCGATATAAACTATAATATGTTTCTTTCACAAAATTACTGAGTTATAGCCAATTCTTATCTTTCTTGACTAAGTTCACTTAGTTAGCCATGGAAACAAGTTTCATCCAATCTTTGTAAATTAAAATAAACAAAAATTGTAAATACGAGTTTTTCAAATGAATAAAAGCTATTAAGATTATTGGTTCAACAAAGGAGCCTCTACGGTGCAAATTGGTAATAAAAAACAAAACTATTGATCAGATAATGTCATTCGAATACCTCGGATGCAAAATTACAAGCTCAGGATTCCTGGAAGAAGAAGTAAGGAAACAAGCCAATAAAGCTGCCGCAATATCAGGACATCTTAAATATCCCATATGGAAAAACAAACATTTGAGTACAGAATGTAAGTCAAGAATATACAAACCCTGCATACGACCAGTGATGACATATGGTGCGGAAACCAGAGCTGAAACATCAGTAACAAAGAGAATCCTACGAACTACTGAAATGAAAACCTTAAGAATGATAACTGGATACACATTGAGGGACAGACAGAGAAATGTAGACATAAGAGAAAAGTGCCAAACAAACGACGTTGTCAGATGGATAAGGCAGAGAAGAAGAGAATGGAACCAGCATATGTCAATAGAATGGGCCCCGACAGAATGGCCATAATAATTCGCAACAACGTACCCCATGGCAGAAGACCTAGTGGACGACCACCTAAACGTTGGCAAGACAGTTGGCAGTCAACCTCGCAAGAGTTGCTTAGACGAGGAGGAAACCGGAACTAAACAGGCGATACGCCTTCTAAAAGAAGAAGAAGATGAAGAAGAAATAGTTTTTACCAATTTTTTTTTACAATACCTCTAGCTAAAATATCTCTTACTAATTACATTGTATAGGTTTTAAAAAATTGTTAAGCACGGACTTGGCGATTAACTACAAGATCATTACACAAAAGAATACTTACTAATGGTCGTAATTGTTTTATGTCTCCATAAAGAAACTTAATTAAGACTTCAAATAAAAAGAAACTCTTAAATTTAATGGGCCAATCTTTTCAACAGTTTTAGTATACTAGGTATTCTTTATGACCCCTATATTAAATTTATGATTTAGTCTCCTTTATTGTAGAATTTTCTGTAATAGTTGTAAAGTTTTTCTACCAGATACCATTTATAACACAAAGGAATTCTTAAGAAAAGTATAAATAATATAAGAAATATTTATTATTAGAGCTTGAGATGAACCGCCTATTTAAAAAGAAACATATTTCTTTAAATTCAAAACATTCACTTTTAAAACACTCTGTATACATAAATAAAATTATTGATTTTTAAGATACTATTCGCAAACCAGGGAGAGGGAAATCAGACAAATAACAGCGAGAATAGGTTTTTAACTAATAGCTGTTTTCCATAGCAACTGTTAAAATTACCTTATATCTATCAAAAATAGTAGATAAAATAGTACCTTAACCTCAAGGGTAGATTCAATGATACTATCTAACTAATCGAACAGCGAGGATAGGTTACAAAGTTTATTTCTTCTCCCGCGTTTTTTAATTGCTTTCATATTTGAAAATCTTTGTATTCCCTTTCATAAGTTATTCGGGATTTAAATGGGAGTAGTTTGAATATGGCGTTTATCGCCTCAGCCTGAATATCTGTTGGTAATTTACATATTTCGTTTTGAGCCATTTCTGGCTCCAATTCAATCAGCAATCGACACAAAAGGGAATTAAAAAATATTGACTCAAAACTGACAACTAAAGAGACAGCTTTATTTATTTGTCAAATTACATAGAAACCAACGCCAACCCAGAACAATATTTTTTTCTACTCGTAATAAATTCCTTGAAATAATTATTTCTGAATATTTTTTAAAACGTATCTCGTTATGGAAAAAAATATTGTTTTATACACGATGATAAAATTGTATTATCGTCTCCGATTAATTCAAAAAGTAATTCTACCTCGGAATTACAATCACAATAAAAATATTTTTAATTTAACTGAAATAAAGAAACCTACGTTTTCTTTATTTCAGTTAAATTGCTTTTTATACAGTTGGACAAAATATTATCTTTCTTGCTTCATCAACGTTACCGTAGATGGAGCTAAGAAGGCTTAGGTAGGGTATATATAAATAAACAAAATACGAGTAGCGGAAAAAGGGGCCAAAAAATCCTACATATATGCTTATTCTCTGCATTAAGTTCATCAGACCGAAGTCACAGCTGCCGCTAGATGGCGTAGAGCGTCTAGCACTCTCGCCATAGTAGTACGTTTTGTACTCAAATGCTATTCTCTGCTTTTTGTTGGTCAGATCGAGGGTTACAGCAAAGTCGGCCTGACGACGGAGAAAAATCTCCGAAACCGGTCGTCGAATGGCAGTTCCCTTCGGTCTGATGAACTTAATGCAGAGAATAAGCATATATGTATGGTTTTTTGACCCCTTTTTCCGCTACTCGTATTTTGTTTATTTATATATACCCTACCTAAGCCTTCTTAGCTCCATTTACGGTAACGTTGATGAATCAAGCATGTTTGTTCATTACGCCGCTGGTTTTAATTTTGGGGGTACGATCTGTGATTGTCACAGCTGCCGCTAGATGACGTAGAGCGTCTAGCACTCTCGCCATAGTAGTACATTTTGTATTCAAATGCTATTCTCTGCGGGTTACAGCAAAGTCGACCTGACGATGGAGAAAAATTTCCGAAACCGGTCGTCGAATGGCTGTTCCCTTCTGTCTGATGAACTTAATGCAGAGAATAAGCATATATGTAGGGTTTTTTGGCCCCTTTTTCCGCTACTCGTATTTTGTTTATTTAAAATATTATCTCTTCAACTTTGTTGATCGAACTTGGGTTGTTAAACAACAAGCTTATGTGTGAAGACATTTAAAAACTATATTCTTTTATCATCAAAATTGAGCTGTATTTCCAAAAAAAGTTACTTGTTTATTCCTGTGGCTTTGTTAAATATTTCAGTATTAGAACGTATTACAAATTTAGCTAACAACTTTAATAAAAGAGTATCTTAATATACCGCTAGCTCAACTTTATCCAACTTCAGATAACTGACGATAAACAAAAACACAACTTTGCTAGTAATTACTTTAAGGTCTCAATTTTGTTTGTGTTAAACTGCGAGCAAATGTTTTGAAAGCAATTACCCAGATCCCAAACTTATTTTTCGGTAAAGCTAACAAAGATAAGGTTGGTATAAAGGTCAGATAAATTATCTATCGGCAGGGAATAAGAAAAGTCAATATTTTATAAGTAATTTTTTACTCCATTTTAATTCATAATAAATTTATTAAATATATTTACTTCCTCTAGGAGATGTGAGATCGGAGAATATGAATTAATTCAAAATTGTTTATCATGGTATCATGATAATTGCATTTTTTCAAATATTAGATTAAATTTTTCAAAAATAATCATAATTTTGTTAAAAAAGTTGAAAAAAAAATAAAAAGATTTCAGTTAACGTCGTTAACGTCTTCTTTTTGCTGCCAGGGCTAATCTGGACGGGGCCTACTTTGTTTACGCGGAATCCGAACCGCGGTCCTCGGCCATATCATGGTCAATGGCCTACCGACTCTAAATCCAACTTCAGATAACTGACGATAAACAAAAACACAACTTTGCTAGTAATTACTTTAAGGTCTCAATTTTGTTTGTGTTAAACTGCTTTTCCATTGCCGAAACCACTGTGGGCCGTTTTCAAAAAAAGTTGAAAAATTTAGGAATTTACCAAGTGGTTAACTTTAACCGCGAATAACTTTTGAAGGAGTAGGTTTATCAAAAAATTGCTAGAAACCCTTTTTGTAGAGCGTTCAATTCTCTAAAAGGATATGTAATTGTTATGGCTACAACAAAAGAAGATCGAGAGAAAAAAAATAGTTTTAAAAAGTGGCAAATCTCTATGTAATTTAAATGGGAAATTAATCGTCTTCGGGTCAAGGTTTATTGTGAATATTAAGAATTTACAATGGTCTGTAATTTTTTAGGCATTAAACTAAAAATTTAGAGGGCTATAGGGCCTAGGTACTAGCTATAAGTAAATAAATAAATTATAAACATGATTACTGTTGTAAGAAGCAACACTCCTAAGGAGATTTTTTTGACCAATTTGCCTGCCTGGCCAGGTGGAAATACCATTAGTTTAAAAAACGTGAACTTACTGATGATTTCCATTTAAAACTGGGCATAGATAGTGGAGGTAGATCTTTAAAAATTTGTCTGTCTTTATGTTGTTACGAAAATCCCGAAATAAAACAAGAAACACATAAAAGTACCGGAATAAACAAACTTGTTATAATAGGATTGGCTCCCAAAATAATAGAAACCTACAAAAATATCAGAGCAATGTTTGAGATTTTGCAACTCCATACTATTTGTGGAGTCAGTTCTTACACATTTGCCGCAGATCTAAAGTTGATAATG